TTGTTACATTGTTTGGGACGTTTTCATATTGGCTCAGATGTTTCCTCTATTTTCATACAAACACAGTTTAGAGGAAGAGTGAATGAGCTTGCCCACTCTGGCATAAGTCTGTGTCTCTGTGTGGCACAAACCGGCTGGTCCCGGCTGGCACTGCCAGACCTGTTGCTCCCTTCCAGCCATTTTACACCCTCCTCACCAACCACACTGGAGCTCCATTTTGTGAAAGTTAACCTCCATTTAAGCATAATTCCGAATCACATTTTTTTTTTTGTTTATCTTCATACAATACTCGCAGGTACTTTTTTTGCATACTTTTGCATAAGTTTTGCGTACTTTTCGATATTGAAATCATTATTACAAATCACTAATATATTTTAGGGATGCAATATTTTTTATTGCACTTTTAAAGAGCACAGCTTTTATTTCCACGCCGTGCTACATTCCTGGAGAATTGAAATAAGGTTTCTCTTCACCTAAAGACAGTGCTTTTTCGTTTTAATACAGTGTATTACTTATTACTATGTATTGCAGACGCAAAATTGAGGAAAGTCTTTCACAGGCAGTCGCTGTAGGACACAACACAGGGACAGCTCCCCAAAACGCTTCTGTGTGTAAAAATCCTCCCTCGCCTATCTAGTCATGTATGTCAAGGGCCAAGGAAGGGGCCACATTGTAATTTTGACATAACCAAGAGGATTATGCTTTGACAGGTTTGGTCGCGCCACAAATTAGTCTGAACAAAGTGCTGCAGTGTATCGTGTGAAGCTCCGTCTGAGCTTTATCTCTTGGTCTACCCCTCAGGGCCAACTGCACTCCTTGGAATCAAGCCAGCATTGCTAACGACTAAACCATATTAGCTGTTGCCTGTGATCTCTCGCGCTCTTGAAATATGGTTACACCATTTGCTCATTAACAAGGAAATTTGCATTGGAGCTCTACACGGCGGCACTGTTCTTTTTGGTTCCCTAATACTTGTCTCCAGTTCAAAGATTAACTCACCGGTCTTTAACGACTCACAAAAAGCTTAATTGCTCCCCATAAACCAAGAAATAAGACAAAGACAGAGTTGTTGTTGGCTTTCTTGTGGATGCCTTGGTAGTGATTTTTGCAGTCCGGCGATTAGTTCTTTGTCTTCTGTGTTTCTCCATCTAGTTTTCTTTGTTCTCCCTTTTCATCCAGTGTCCACACTTCATTTTAACGTCTGGGGCTGTAATCCGTGAGGTTTCTCAAACAAGGCGCCCAGTGTGTATCTCCCCACTTAGCCGCTGTCAGAATAAAGCGTGGGCGCCTTGGGATGTATGGGACATGGCGCAGGGTATCCGGGGTAGCAGAGAGGATGTGTCCAGGCTGGCAAGGCCTCTCAAATTTATGGTGTAGATGTTCCTCTGCATTTATGGGCCACAGATGAAAAGATTCCCTTGTTCTTATTCTCACAAACACCCTCCCTACCCTGAATGTACCCCTCCACTCCCATTCCTCCTCTCTCTTAGACCCATCTTGCATGCCCTGTTGTTCCGCTGGATGGGCAGCGGGTCTCACGAGGGTGAAAATAAGGAGTAGCAGTGTGGTGTTGACTGGGTGGTGGAAGCAGAAAACAAGGTGTTGTGTTTTGTCGGTGCCACCGAGGCCTTTGTGCTATCAGATCAAAGCAGCATGGACAGAGGAGATCCTCTTGGAGATCGGTTCTGGCTCAGCCCGAAGAAAGGTAGGTGGCAAACATTGATCATGAATCGATACAGGAAAGGGAGGCAGGGTGCAGCGAGTGAATGGTTGTCAGCATTGGTCAGATGAAGGTTTATGTCATGAAGAGGTGTGGCCACATACAAGCAGCAACTCATTTTTCACACTTTGGAAGCTGGCGAGTTAAATTGGGAGTTGCGCATGTCAAGGATCCGTCTTACTCATCAATAGTTAAGCCTTTTCTAGCACCTAAATTGCGTAATACCTCTCTTGCATGCTGATTCTGATCCCTGGCCGCCATCTAGCTGAGCTGGCGACCAGCTCTCACAGAGGAGAAAGAACAAGAGTCGAGGGCTGGTTTGAATTTTCTGTGCAGATCCCATTGCTGGAACTTGTTTGCAACACAGAGTTTTTTTGTAGTCTGTGGCTGTTTGTAGAAAATCCCACCGAAAGCTGATTTCTATTAGAGAATGAAAAGAAACATTTTCCTCCTGCGGTCAAAAAGCAGAATATAAGTGCTGTGTATAATGGATGTAGAATGTTGGGGCAAGGAATACTTTGGCCTCCTCTGCATCAATCATAAAGAACATTATCTATTATTATCCACGGACGATGCTGTTCCTGTTAGACATGGCCCATCTGTCACGTTACAGATCCTGCTTCCAGTTTGTCCTCATTTGCCCCCCATCATGGGTGGGCTCCTGTCCAAGTCTGAGAGGCTGCAGAGGGCGTTGTGATGCTGGACACATAGAGACCCCACCACTAACACATGACATGACAGCTTGTTGGAGAGAGAGAGAGAGAGAGAGAGAGAGAGAGAGAGTAAGAGTGAAAGGGACTTGGCAGTCCTTTCGGGGGCTCCTGCTTATTTTTGGTCGGTAAAGAGGGTGAAGGGACGCATAATCTGTGACTTCATTTCTTTCCACTCTGGAAAAGGAGAAGTCGGTGTGATCCGTGACTCGAAGGAGTCGAGAACACAAGCGGGGCCTGTCATATTTACCTCAAGCGCACATCGGTTTATAGATTTTCCATGTGCACTTATGCATATACCGACCGGTCAAGAAAAAGCCAAGAGTTGCCCTTTTTTTTTTTTTCTGCTCACACAGTAGGCTATTCTCCTTGTGATGTCAACATGGTTTTATATTGCTTAGCTTAAAATAATGACTCTTTGCTGACATTTTATTTTACTTTTACACCGTTACACAGACTTTAGTTTATGAAACAAAGATATCTTAATCCACAATTGCTTTTAACGAGCCTTATACAACTCCAAAGATATTTACGGGGCAAGAAAAAGCTTTGGCAAAGCAGCAAGAACAGTTCCTATAGCGTCTTGATTGATTTCAGACCATTGCCTTGTCTATTGTTCTTGCCCCTCCGCTCTGAAACACAGCAGAGCATTTTCATCCTTCTACTGTAATTTGCTCCTTCTTTGTTTTTACTATCAAAGAACAGTTGATTATTTACTTTCGCAGAAGTGCGAGGAATGCCCAAAGACACCTCTGTCTCCTTTCATGCGCACCAGCCTCTAACACACAGTGCTTCTTTGTCTGAAGCCATTCTGTGGTTTAACACACTTCTGTTTTGTTTGTGTTTGGTGAAACATTATGAAAACTTTTTTTCTGTGTTCTAGCCACCCCTCAAATGATCTCTTGTCCCTTTTGGCATGCAACTCACAGTTCCCCTACAAATCGCCAATGTTTGACCACTAGATCGCACAATTACGCACAGAGTGGCCAGGGACCGGTCAGTGCAGTGGGGTTAATCCTTGCAGCTTCGTCCATCTTGCATTTCAAAGGCTACTTTCTCTGCTTGTCCAAGCACTTATTGACACTGTCGGGATTAAGGCCTCACATGCCGTCAATCGGCATGTTCCAACTGTCAAGTCAACGAGTAAAGTTTATATATAGCTCCCAAATCACAAACGTGTCCCTGAGGGCTTTTCAATCTGAACAATATGACACAACTTAAATCTTTAGGCCCTGGTCAATTCTAAGTATGAAATTGAGTATGAAAAGATATGACAAATTTTGTGGATTCATCCTGTTGTGGAATATTTCTTATGACTAGTCAGGAGAAGAAAGTGAAGGTTTCCAATCAATGTAAAATAAACAGAGTCTTGATGAACGATCAAAGTTTGTAAAGTCAATTTATTTGCTTGCAAGCAAAGAGAACAGTCTCACAGACACATTGCAGTCATCTGTAAGAGTGGTCTGCCTAAACAGTCACAATGCATGGACATTTATGCTCAGACAGCTTCCTGTTATCTGCTTAGCTAACAATAATACACAAAGGAGAAGAAGAAAAAGGCAGGTCATCCTTCGAGCCTTAGTATACTTCCTTTAAGACAACATGAAGGCGCTTCATCTCCTGTTTGCAGATCCCTTTGTTCACAGTTTGCCTTACATTAAACCGTTTAAACACACAGCAGATGCTTCCTTTGAGGCCATTGTAACATTGTTACAACAGTGGCGGGCCGTCAGGGCCTGCAAGGCCTTCTCTGCTGGCCTAAACAGAATCACAAAGCTATATATATTTAAAAAAAAAAAAAAATCTATTTTATAATTTAATAATTTTTCATAAATACACTACATGTATTATAATTTATAAAAATATTTTTCCCATTATCTTATTTTCTCATTGCACAGCTACTGTCTTCCTCAGTTGCTCTGCTTCCAGTGCAGCTTGTTTTAAGTAGAGCTTTTATCCAATCAGATCTCACCTCTGTGTCTCTAGGTAAGAACAGAGGCAGAGGCCTGCAGAGTCTCACCTGCAGCCAGTGCAGATTAAAGTAAATGGGGACGATATTGTTGATTGTCATAGTGTTCAACCAATCAGATCTTTAGTTTGACATGTTGGGCGTATTCTTTGACTATTAAAGCCTGCGCGCCAGCCTATAATGAAGTCAGCATTACATGTCGCCAGTGTCCGTGTGTAGCTTTCCCGCGAGGTACAGAGTGTGCTGTGATTGGTCAGTGGGCGAGCACGTGACTAGACACTGCAGAGCAGTACGGTTGAACGCTGAAGTTGTGAAAGTAAAATCCTATGTTAATCTCTTTGGGTCGCGGCTTGTCATTAAGGAATGACTGGATCCCACAGCCAGACCAGCTGGGAACATTATGTTTTCCTTAATTTAGGCTTTTGCATTTTCTAAATGCTCTAGCATTATTCAGACGGTTTAATGCGAAGATGTACATAGTTACAGCCTTAAAAATGAATAACAGCTGTGGTGCCACAATGTGGTTATAAGGTGGTATTTCAGCTGCAGGACAGCAGTGAAGGCCCAGGTATAAAATGCACGGCCTGCCACTGTGTTACAATGACTATTGCAGAGACAGAATAGACATTTTTTACTCTCACACATCATATATGCATGCAAAGGTTTACGCCTTCACAACAGATAATGCGTCATAAAGGAAGTAAAAGTATTTCAGACCAAGGATCTCTGTTAGTCAAGGCCTCTCTGTGTCTCTGTCTTACGAAGAAAGAAAACAGGGTACAAGATAACAGATAACAAGACACCTGGATACAAAACTAATTAAAATCATCTACTGAAACTACTGTTTGGTGTCTGCACTTTTAGGACTTACATTCTTTAAACCTTCACATGAGACTGTGACATATTTTCCCATTACAATCCATTTTACACTGCGGCCAGATTTAAAGACTATGTTAGCAGCTCTTTGAGACTGTACTTAGGCACAGCTAAATGCTACTGTCAACATGCTTCAGTAATATTCTTCCACACCCAAGCTACTGCAGTAATATCATGTCAGTTATTTTAGTTCAGTGTGTTAACATGGTCACATTAGGGCTAAACACAAAATACAGCTGAGGCTGATGGGAAATGTCTTTAGAGCTCCCAGTCAATGTTATGGTGGCACTAGAGGAAGAGTCAAGACACCAAAGCCAGTCCACTTCATCCTCTTGAGACCAAGAATATCTTTGCGAAATCCATCCAATAGCTGTTGAGATATTTGTGTCGTCACTAATATATGTGGTCGACCGACCAACCGTGCAACAGCCCAACTTATTCCTAGCATGACTAAAAAAGATCCTGAGTCTTGACTCTTCTCTTTACTCCTCTGCACTAAAAGCTGCAAACATGTGATTTCAGTAAAAAATTGTTTGTGTTTATTTTATTTATATTTTCTTATTTAAAGCAAAAAGACAAAATTGACGAGTGGGACAACCGATAATTACTGTGAGGACACCCCCCGCCTCCATATATAGCTGTTTACAACAATGTCTAACTTTAGCAGGTTACTGGGTCAGAGGTGTTTGTGATCTAAAATGGGTCATCCCTGTCAGGGGCTACAGCTGACCCCGACTGAGGGGGTCACTCGCTGCACTATATCCAGCCAGGGGTCAAGCTCCTCAAATGAATATAGGCTTATTTAATAAAAAGGGAACTCTCGTGCATTGCAGAATTACTCTTCACTAACACAAAAGTGCAAGTCATGATTTGGGAGCCACCCTTCTAAAGAAGATGTTAAAATCCCCTTCTGTGTTTTTATCCACCTCATACGCTATCATAATATGTGGCAAATTTTTTAAACCGTATTTTCAGGTCAGCGTGTAGCACTTCAAAGCACTGTGGGAGAATCAGTTCCTGCCGCTCAGCTAGAAAGTTTCAGTGTGTCATCAGTGGCTTGGCAGATGGCAGAGACTTATTGCATTTGTCCCTGCTTTAAAAAAGCTCAATTAAACTGTACTGTAAACCATAACAACTTGATAGTCATATATGAAGCTAACCCGTACGCTAGAATTGCACACACATTAGTGGGCAAGAAAAGGCTCTGCTGACCTTTGCTTTCCCTGGAAGTGGCTGGAGTGGCTTGGATCTGATATCAGAATGGAGGGCACGGATGCAGGACCAATAGAACCAGAATCAGCAGGCTTTTACAGTGGGCCAGTTGCCAGCCACCACCAGTCTGGTGGTGACAAGTCTATTCTGGGACTTGTGGAGGTCTGACTCATCAAAGCAGAAGTGGGCTCTTAACTAGGAATCTATTCTTCCCCAAAGTCTTATTACTACTTTATCTGCTTCAATCAATCAAATCATGTTTCCATTTGCAGCTGTCTGCTGTTAATAGACTGAATGAAATCGGACCGTATTAGCTTTATAGTGAGCGTTCCCTTCTGAGAGTCTATTTCTAAGGATTTCTTATGTTGCTACCGCCGCCCTCAAACCTTCACACAGCTATTGTAACCACCAGGTCGCTGTAAAAAGCAGCAGCACCGTGTTCATAGCCAGGGTTTGTCAGGCCCGGCGATACTGTATTCCTCTTGAAGCTGGGCATATTTAATATTTGGATGGCTGAAGGGGACTGGGCCTCAAGCCAGAATACGGGTCACTGTGGGAAGTTTGAAGTTCATTGAACACTTTGTGCATAAACAGTGCATGAATTCACACTGATATGGGGCCAGGAGATCAAAGCACCATGCATGGTGATGCAGATTACCCCCCCCACGATTTTAACACTTGGTTGACTGTCGTATGATTGGGGCTGATGTATTTGGTTATTGTGTGTTTGGATAAGTTCCTTATATTGTTTTGCATTGACCTCTATAACTGCCAGCTAGACATTCAGCAGTGTGCCACAAAATACCAAATGGGCTGAGCAATAAAATGCTTCAGAATCATTCTCTTGTCACTTATATATGCTTATTTAAGCCCAAACTTGCAGATTCACACGAGCATTCACATACAGCCTGCTTGAACCAGCTGCCACCACCGCCAACGCCTCTGTTTCAATGTCAGGCAAACTGCCGCAAGTCAGTGATAAAACATTTGTTTCGTAATACAGAGGTATGCCTGTCTCGTACAATGGACCTGAGTGTACCTTTGTTCCTCTACTAAAAACTCTTCCAAGCTGTCAATCTGAATCATTAACCTCACAAGCACCACCACAGAAGATGGAACCCCTGGAGGCATGTTTCAGAGCATATCTGCTGTATAGGTGGAGTACACGCATGGCCTGAGGCATCACCTACTTGTCTGACTAGATAGTCAACACTTCTTTAGCATCTGACAGGAATTGTTTTCATGACACTATTAGCAGACACAAGTGTCACCACAGTACTGCCAAAAACTGTTTTTATCATGTTCATATTTAATATTTGTCTTTGGTTTTAAGCGTTATAAGACTATAATTTTGCCCTCAGATCATTTTTTATTTTCTTAATTGCTATCAAAAGCTTGACAATGTGCTGAATGGTTTGTTTCACATCACAGTGTCATTGCAAATAGCTCTGATTAATAGGTCTGATTAATGACAGTTCAGTCCAGCTGTCCAGGAGAACAGATTTATGTCCCGCTGCTCCACTGCGGCCCATCAAGCGGACATGTGGCTTACTCAGAACTGGCTCACTTCGTTTGACTGTTACCATGGCAAACAAAGTGGAAACAGTTTTCAGCCAGTGTTTAGATGTGTAATATAGCGTGTGTGGTTTCAACCAACAGGCGGAATGCATCATTTCATCGCTGCCACACAATTTCGCAACTGGATCGCTGTGTTCCAGCACAGCACTGTGTACTTTTCACTGGGATGAGTGAACATGTACTCCTCTGCTCTATCCAACAATGGTCACTTTTCCTTCCAGTTTGGCTTGGACACTGGCCGTGAGAGGACACTCACTGACACAGAAAGACGAACGGGAGACAGATGTACGGAAGAGAGAACTGATCTAGGGACATAAATCTGATCTCATGTTCCTGGGAGCGCTGGAAAGGTTAGCTATAATGCGCAGCTCTTTATATAGTTGTGCAAGACAGAATCTCGGTTGCCAGCTAAGTCGAGGCATGAAGCCTGAATGTTAGCCGTCCGAAGCAGCAACACAACTTTAGGGTGCTTTACAGCCTGTTGCATCACTTTAATGAGCTGCAATGGGAAACACTTATTAGTCTATGTCATTTCCCTCACTTGGTGTTTTGGTGACCCTCCAACAAACAGACATGAATAGAATCTCTCTCGCTCTCTCTCTTTCTCTCTCTATATCTCTCTCTCTCGCTCTCTCTCTATCAAACTACTTGTGTGTCAGTTAAACTGTCATTGCAGTTTTCTCCCTATATCAAAATACATTAATGGTTAATTATATGTTTTCTCTTAAAATGTCATCTTTTTCTTTCCACATTCAAAAGACTGTGTGACATGAGATCCCCAAACCACACCTTGTGCGAAGAGTAAAAGTTCCCCAGTGATACCTGATCGGGAAATGTGTAAAACTAGACGCCTTGCACATGATCAACTACATAGATGCTCAGGGATAGATGCATGCCAAGGGGATGACTGTCTTTTCTGTGAACTAATCCCTGTTTAGAACAGCCCAATTACTGGGCCGGTGTGTGTGAGTGTGTGTGTGTGTGTGTGTGTGTGTGTGTGTGTGTGTGTGTGTGTGTGTGTGTGTGTGTGTGTGTGTGTGTGTGTGTGTGTGTGTGTGTGTGTGTGTGAGAGACACGCCAAAGGGTGTTTATCTGCCGGTCGTATCGTGTGTTCGGAGGTGTGTGTACATTATGAAGGAGGTGTGTGCTTTCGTGTGTGGTTGGGGCATCTCCGTAAAAGTCACAGAGCTGCAGAACGTGCTCAAACACACTTCATAGGTGTGTTGCTCCATTCGTCTTTGTGCTTTCTTGATTTCAATCAATTTATTGCGTAGACTTTTATTACTCGCTTCCTACTTCCTGCTGTACTATTTACTTTAGTGAGAATTTTTTTCCAGGCCAGTTTTTTCCTAAGAAATAGAGAGAGAAGGTGGGAGGAGCCCGACTGAGAAGTGTGCCTCACTCTCTCTCTCTCTCTCTCTCTCGCGCTCACACTCACACACCACGCTCCCTCTTCCATTCTGTCATTGCCATCTCGGCAGAACGGAGACTGTTCATTCCCAGGCACGCTGAATGTAAGGGGGGGGGGGGAACAGCCCACGTTTGACTTTGTTTAAGACCGATTTCACAGAGGAATATTCTTTTTTCTTCACGATATCCAAAGGATCGGCAGAACGAGGAAAAGAAAGTAAGATAAAAAGATTTCAAGGATTCCTTCTTCAACTTTTTTCTAATTGAATTGAGAAGCATGTGACAGCCGGTTTTGCCACTGGATTCTTTTAAACAACAGGGTGTGAGATCGTCTTATTTATGTTCCTTTCATGTTGTAATTTTCAGTTTTGCTTTGAGAGACCACATTGACATAAATCACAATGGTTGCTGGAATGCTGATGCCCCTGAGGGAACTGAGGGCCATCTACGAGGCCCTGTTTAAAGATGGTGTCATGGTGGCCAAGAAGGACAAGAGGCCTCAGACCAAGCACCCTGAGCTAGAAGGTGTGAGCAACCTACAAGTAATCCGCTCCATGGGGTCTCTTAAGTCTCGGGGCTATGTGAAGGAGACATTTGCCTGGAGACATTTCTACTGGTACCTGACCAATGAGGGCATTGTTTACCTCCGTGACTACCTCCGCCTGCCCTCTGAGATTGTCCCTGCCTCCCTGCAGAGGATCAGGAAGCCAGCCGCCACCCTGGCCATTGGCCACCGGGCTGCACGGGTCCAATCTGTGGAAGGTCCTACATCTTATGTTCCCAAGCCAAGCCGCAGGGGCGAAGTAGAGAGCCTAGAGTCTCTGACTGAGCGTCAAGGCTACCGCCATCAGATGATGGGTCCAGGAGAAAAAGAGAGCTACTCTGATAGGACCCCCAGGTTTAGGGGTCGTCCGCTGGCTGCGGAACCAGTCAGGCCAAAAGCATCATGGGAAGTGGAGGACCAGTCTCAGCCTCTGTTTAGGAGGGGGAACAGCTTTAAAAGTGAGGCAGCGGTGATGGAGGAGAGCAAGGTAAGAAGAGTCTCTCGTCAGCATCCTGATGTGAGCAGTGAGAAGCCAGCAGCTACATCACAGGAGAGACGAGTGTCTGAAGTCCAAAAGGAGAAGGCACCAATGTCTTTCCAGATTCAGAGAGCAGCTTTGAAACAGGATGTGCCGCAGACCACTCTGACATCAGTGTCCTCCAAGACAGCCCTACCATTAACTGTGGCTTCAGGTGCTGCGACATCAAAGATTACAGCTGAACCCACTTCTCCTAAAACAAATAAAGAGAAACTCAAGATCGCTGATGAAAAAGCTTCCAGGAAGCCTGGTTATGTTGTAACAAGCAATTCAGCTATCACAACGCTTCCTGATTCAAAGATCAAAGAGGAGAAGACACAAAAGGTGATCGTGGATCCGATTACACCTTCACAGGTCAAGTCTACAGCTGAAATGGCAAATTATAAAGCAAAGCCCCAAACAGTTATTAAAATGCCTGCTGCTGACGAAACCAACGATCTCCTTACTGCCACGGCCACTGCTGCCCCTGTCGTCACCAAACCTGCCACCAAAGCTGTCAATGAAGAGACAACAAAAAAGGGTGTTAATCCAGTTAAATCCGCAGAGGTCAAGGCTTCAGCTAAAACAGCAATTGATAACATTAAGGCCCAGACAGTTATCACAATGGCTTCTGCTCAAGAAACTTCCAATCTCCTTACTGCCACGGCCACTGCTGCCCCTGTCATCACAAAGCCTGCAAATAAGGATGTCAAGGAAGAGACAACGAAAAAGGTGATTGTTGATCCAATTAAATCCGCAGAGGTCAAGGCTTCAGCTAAAATTGATAACATTAAGGCCCAGACGGTTATCACAATGGATTCTGTTCAAGAAACTTCCAAACTCCTTACTGCCACGGCCACTGCTGCCCCTGTCATCACAAAACCTGCCAATAAGGATGCCAAGGAAGAAAAGACAAAAAAGGTGATTGTTGTTCCAATTAAATCTGCAGAGGTGAAGCCTACAGCTAAAATTGCAACTGATAACATGAAGGCCCAGACAGTTATTACGGTGTCTGCTACTCAGGAAACCTCCAAACTCCTTGCTGCTACTGCCACTTCCTCCCCTGTCATTACAAAACATGTCAATGAAGAGAAGCCTAAAAGAGCAAAGATCAATGAGGAACCTGTTAAACTGGCAGAAGTGAAGACCCCAGTTGAATCCAAAATAGATCACGAGAAGGCCAAGAAAACTGATGAAGTTTCTGTTACTCAGGAGACCACCAAACCACCACCCGACAGTATCACCAGGAAGTCAGTAAAGGAGATCTCTAAAGTAAAAGTCACTCAGGAGCCCATTGATGTTAAAGTGACCACAGTGAATCTCTCAGCAAAGCCCAAAACTGATGAAGCTCCCCAGAAAACGACTAAGGTGACGGAGTCCTCAGTACTTGAAGTTAAAACTACTATTAGTACAACGACTCTCTCAGCACCTATGGCCAGTTCTGAAGACGCAAAACCCGTTAAGGGGAGAGCTACAGAAACAGAGATTATTACAAAACATGAGAAAACTGATGTAAAGGTGACTCCTCCTGTCCAGAAAGATGAAACAATAGTGCCAGAAGAGGTGCTTAAAGTCTCAGTACAGGGTGTCACATCCCCTCAACTCAGTCAAAATGTTGCCACCACAGAGGTGGTTAGGGAAACCAAACAAATGGTTGAGGGAAGCTCTAAATCAAAAAGGAAGAAAAAGAAATCTCCAGGTGAGAGTTCCAAGATTATCGATGCTGAGGAGCTGCCTGACTTTAAGTTGGAGAAGGAAAAACCCCGTGTCGATAAGACGCCTGAGGAGGTGGCTGAAAATACCCTCCAACCCACACCACTGACTACCTCAGAGCCACTGAGCATGTGTACCAGCATAAAGACTGAGGGACCTGCAGAGAAATATACGGCTCAGGCTAAAATAGATAGGGATGGGGGGGAGATAAAGGAAGTGCCTAAACAAATTCCAGGGAAGCCATTGATGGAAGTCCCTAAACAAACTGAGGACCAGAGTATTTCTAAAGTAGCATCACTGCCATTAGCTCAGATTTCAGCAGTGCCCCCAGTGGAGCTTCCTGACAATGCACTAGTAAAAGGGAAGGTTGAGGGAAGCAGTGTCAGCAAAATAACACATGGACCATCATGCTCTGAGGACGAGTTAAAATCTAAATTGCCCCACACAGAGTCAGTGAAATCTGAGGGAATGACTGTGACTAAAGTGGAAACAGTGACTGTACAGAAAATAACTCAAGTGGAGCTCGTACAAGCAAGTCCTAAACCTGAGGGCAAAAGCCCTGCAGCAGCGCCAGAATCCCAGAAACCCACAGACACTAAATCCCTTATAAATACAGGGAAAGCTGCAGAGGAATCTTCAAAGGGAAAAAAGAAAGGAAGAGGGAAAAAGCAGGCTCAGGCAACAGTATCAGACACCATAAACACAAAGCCTGTGCTTTTGCTTGAAGCAGAGGCCTTACCATCCTCTAACATTACACCATTACCCAAGGCTACAGTTAAAGACAGCAATATCACGACCTCTGAGGTGACTGAACTGAACGTTTCTCCAAAGAAGACTCCCAAAAGAATGTGCAGCGAGGAAGCCAGGCAGTTAGCAGCTGTGCTCTGTGAGGCCCCGGCAGACAAAGGGGAGGTGGAGCCATTGGGGCTCTTCGCAGAAAAAATCAAGCGGGAGGTTCCGAAAGGAAAAACATCCTCCACTGCGAGGGAAGCGCCCGCAGCCGGAGAATCGGCGTCAGCAGCACCAGCGGCGAGAGCAGAGGCAGCTGTAGCTCAGGCACAGGCCAGCCCCCTCGGCAAGCAAGAGGAGCCTCCCAGAATTGCACAACATTCAGCCAGTCGGGCAGCAGAGTGCAGCACAGAGAAAAGGCTCTCTTTCGGTAAGGCCTTGAAGCAGGAGGAAGAGAAGAAGAGAGACTTGGTGGAGGACACACCCTCTGCCACTGCCAAACCCACAGCTGCCCAGCTTGACCAGCTTCACCTAGGAGACACCTGCAAGTCCAAAAACCCTGATACAGACGAAGCAGCCATGAAGAGAAAGATTGTAGTGGTTGAGGAGATAGTCGAGGTGAAACAGGTTATTAGTCCAGAGGACACTGGGGAGCACTCGCCTCCTCCACCTGTGCAACAAGAGGATGAAGGCGAGGAACTGGACATGGATGTTCTGGAAGAAATTGCCATCGAGCGGGCACTTTTGTCAGCTTTGCCAGGGTCCAGGGTGCAAGGAGCCTCACCTGAGGGAACCTGGGACCACTCACTGGATGAGCCAGAGGAGAAGACATGGCCACACTTCATTGAAGGTTTGTTTGAATGCGTGCCAATTAACCTACTTCCTACCTTGAGCGACTCTCGCTTTGCATGTGTAATTGCTCTCTCAGCTAGGATCCCACCTTCCTTTGAAGTGTGGGAGGTCTTAGGTTGGGTGTTTGATGAGGGCTTTTCTGTTGCCCCTCCACATTGTCATGCATTTAAAGCAGTTCATACTCCGAAGAACATAATTGTCTGTCTCTCACTTCTCTTCTAAAGTGTTATTTGGGGTGATTTGATTACAGTTTATGACTTAAAGTTACATGCTACAGAGCCTCTACTTTTGCGATGTGGACGAGAGGCTTTCTCTCTTTAGGAGTGGTTTCAGTGAGCTGGTGAGAAGAGTCAGTTGAGATGTGGCTGGGATTTAGTTATCCGTGTGTTAAAATAGATGAAGTATCCGTAACGCACTGGCAGATTTCCCACTGGCATTATCACATAATCTCAGGTGAACGCTATACTTAAAAGCTGTTTATAAAGCTATACTTGGGCATTAAGTACTAAATGCATCGTACCTATAATTTGCCACACCGTTTACATGCAGAGCGTGTTGCAGTGGCAATTATAATTATTTTTAACAAATGCCAAAAATCACACTTTTTTTTGGGTGGGGAACTCTACACACGTGTCAGTAAAGACAGTACTCTCTGGAGCCATCTCTGAGTGTTTGCCAAATACGATTATGCAGACCTGCAGTCATTCCAACAAGGTGGGGCTGTTTGCTGAGATTCAGCCTCGCCTGTTCCCTTCAGAGATAGTTGTGTGTGAGCTAAAGCCAGAGGCAGGGAGGTGTGGTGCTTTTGGGAGCATTTGTTCCATTTCCTCCAGTAAGACTGTGTTCTTGGCACTGTTTTATATTCTGTGGTTGTTGCTCTGTTTCTCTTTTCTTGTATTATAGGAGATTGGCATTCCCCTTGCATACTATTATGCAATGGCATGCGTAGGATATGGGAGTTATGTAGACATTGTGATAACAGGAGTGTATGATGGCCTCCTTTTTTTGCTGGATCTGGAAAATAACAGTTCTACAACTCCCTGAAAACGATGCCATTCAATGCTGCGGTTGGTTCTGCTGAAGTGAAACTTATGAATCACGATGAAGCATGTTCATGTGACTCTGGCTTTTGGGTTTTGGAAAAAGTGATATCACGTTATGTTGACTGTCATGTGCATATGGGTGTATAGCAGGGACTTCACATGGGCGTTGTCTTTTGTGGGTGTGAGCAATGGGACAAAGAGGAAGTTGGAATAGCTTGCTCACAGCTCTCTCAGGGTGTGTTTATTTGGTTCCACACGCGACAGACGATCTGGATTCAATTAGCAGCCTGGACCCTCGATTCAATCTGTGGTACTCATCAGGGAAATAATTCCCTTCTGCACTTTGATAAAGATATATGTGTGACTCACATGCACAGAAAACAGCATATGCAACTAATTATAAACAGAACTTGAATTAATTGCTTCAACATTTAAAAACAAAACAAACTAATAAATGAAACATTAGGAAATATTTCAATTTTGTTTTAATTATGGAGTCTGATAGACTGGTGCTATCAGATGTTGACACAGACGGTGCCAGTCTATCAGATGACCACAGTTTTCGGTGACTCACTGCTGACATCTGCTGTCCATTACCAACCGTTGTCATCTGTCACATAGACCAAATGCTGCAGCTGTAATCAGTTTTGATAATGCTCCAGGTTATGCATATTTCACATCACGTAGTGGACAAGCCTTGTTTTCTGTTTGGTTATCAAGCTTTGCATTATCCAGCTTTTTGCACTGTTGCCAAAGCAGTTTCCTTCTAATCTGACCTCAGATATGCTGTTAGACAGGGCAGTGGTTATCACAGGTACAATGTTTAGTGCTGTAAAGAGTGTGGTATTCTTGGTATGTTAGCTAATCAAACAGCTGTCAGCAGACACAGTTACACCCTGAGACATCGTTGCAGTCTAGCATGTCTGCTTTTGTCTTGCTACAATCTGTCTGTCATTGCATCAGTGATGTGGAAACCAGGAAAAAGGAAAGAATTTGAAAAAGTCTTGCGCAACCAAATAATTTAGCTTTCTAGAGAAAGAGAGCTCCTTGAACTGGTTTTGATTTGAAGGGAACGCTTTGACATCACGTGCGGCACTTTTGATTTCTTGAAAGGAGGGCGCTGTACGTGCTTTGTATGAAGTGGACACACATGAGAAGGCTGTTTAAACTCTGCCCACACATGGAACCAGGGGCAATTAGACTAAATCACATCCCAGACATGGCAATGAGGTCCTCAATGTTGCTTTTTTTCTTTTTTTCTTCTTCTACCTCTGAAATCATGGCCGATGCATACTTGTGTGATTGGTTAAATGAAGAGCTGCAGCTTTGTGCCTTTCATTATGGCGGCACGTCATTTTGATCTTATGACTCACCCTGACCGTTCTCAAATCCGAGAGGTTGAGTTATAAGCCTGACCTTTTTGAGTTAGAAAAAAATAAAAATAAAAGAATTGGGACATAATTAATGTTCAATCTCATGCTATCTATCAATAGCCTTTGTTGTGAGCTGGCAGTTTGAGTCTGCTGCCTCTTTTTGCTGTTGCCCACCAGCGATGTTTTGCTCAAAACAAAGTAAATGACCGTAGCTGCTGTGCCCTATCTTTTACCGCTGACTCAGCCTGCGAAATCGCTTAATATGCTATTGCACCCACAAGTGTCAGAGCATATCGGCCTCCTTTTCATGGAACTGAGACAGAAGCACAGCAAGCAAACATTTTGACAATGAAGAGATGTTGTTGATACATTCAGAATGAAACTTGAGCAGGCGGCTGTAATACTCCAAAGCTGCTGCATCACTCCGGTTAAATCAGGATTTAAATAGAAAACAGGAGTTCAGTTGTCAATAACTTTGTGATATCAGCATAAAAATGTGAGGTTTCTTGGAAGAAATAAATGATATCGACGTGGCTACGCCAGTGTAAGGAGAAACCAAAGCGCAATCCTGTCTTATGGGCCGGTTGTTTGCGACCCTCCAACGCGAGAGAGAGAGAGCGAGCACAAAGTGTTTGATATCAAATTTAACAGCAGTCCATTGAAACATAATGACCAGAGGCTGCACAGTGACGCAGAATCAGAAATCTGTTATAGCAATATAACTAACTGTAGACCCAACCCTGGAAACAAGAGGGATCGATAACATGTGGAATATATTGAGGGTTTGGTCAAGATGGTTATGTTAGTCATTTCCCAGAGCACATGTTTGGCCGTATTACAGGGGCTGACTAACTCAACTTCAGTTGTATGAGTGAGTTTGTGGAATAGCTGTAGTTAAGTATTCTGTAAGGGTTTTTAAGCCTTTATGTCGAATTTGTCTTTTGTGTTTTGACCATTGCTTAATGCAGTATTTTCTCAGGAGACCCCACCACCTGTTTAGTCAAGATGGTGTTTACGCAAGCTTCGAATAGCTTTCGACCATGTGTCTTAACATGAATGACACGAGTGTGAGGCTCAGTTAAAGGTTCAGGAGTTTGTGGAGGCACATGAGGATGTTCACGGAGGAATTCCATGTGATCCTCCGTAAAGCCCCCCCGTGTGGTTTCTCAGTATAGCTGCCTCACACGGGGCGTCCATCTATAGTGTCCATGTTTTATGAGAGGAGACAATCCCACCTCTACTCTCTAGACACTGGGTGGAATTGCTTTTAGCATTACAGAGAAATGGAACTAATTGTCAACACGGAGCCATATGCATACATCAGAAGCCACTCTAGTTCGAGAATGTTTTGCATTACTGTGATCCCAAAAGCAAAAGGTGATGAACACTGGGAGCTAAACTCTCTTCAATCTGTCCATCACTAAACTCTGTGTGTGGCTATTGATAATTATTCCATCAGTCCTAGTTCTCAGTTTTTATTTTTAACTTCGTCGCCATTTCTGTCAAGCGTTACTGCCGGTGCCTTTTTCCCTTAATGACACTTAATATATCCAGTCAACCCATCTCATTTACAGTTTAAATGTCAGACGTTTCCGTAAATGCTCTTGTTATATGCCAATCATCGTGAGAGGCCTCACCAAACAGTAGAAGTGCAAAAATCTGCACCAAAGTTATCAAAAGTTAGGAAATCACAAATGGGGATATGACTATATTACGTTACATCACATGTCGTATGTAGTTTTATCATCGAGAATATAATGTCCCAATGATGCCTCTAGCATGTGCTGCGAATATTTTGAGAGCTGTGACTTAACTTCACAGATAAACCTGCGGTCGTCATCCTCCTCAAAGAGAAACAGGGAGTGAGGGAGGGAGGCTTGTGTTTGTGGAGTTTGTCTCTAGGGGCGAGTGCAGCCAAGTGTCCCGCCAGAGCACTTCCATCAGTTTCTAACTGTGACACTGTGTGATCATCTGGCTTTGGTGGGTATTTATAACCCTCAGTCAGCTCCAGCCCCCCCCCCCTCTCAGTCCTGAGAGCCCCTCGCCCCTGCCACCCCCACTCCCTCGCCCCTACCCTGGCGTGTCGTGCCTCCTCCCCTGGCCACGGGAGAGCAGGCTGACGGATCCAAGCAGCAGGCGCAGCCTGTCAAAATACAGCACAACGGAGAAACGAGGCTGTTCAGAGCGAACAAACTGGAGCCTCTCCTGTCCTCTTCATTCCCCCTCTGTAAAGCTCTCCTTTTCGTCGCCCTCGTCCTCCTCTTCCTCCCTCTACCGCCTCTTAGATGAAGATCATACCTGGTAGGTCCACAGAGTGGGGTTGCTGTGGCGTGTCTGTCTGTGTCTAACTGCGTTTTGTCCGTCTGTGCCGCTGACCGTCGGGGAATTGTTGATTTTGGCGAACGCCCCGTGTGAAGTCTTGTTGTGTTGTTGTTAGGTGGGACCTCTGGAACACCACAGATGCACACTTCTAACAAAGAGAAACCTTCAGCACAGATTCTATTCCAAATTTAAACATGTCTACAACGTGACTGACTTGAATCATGAGCTTGGCTGGCTTCTGTATTTTCCTTTATTTGATG